CATGTAACCCGATGCATCCGAGTCTCTCAAATAGAGATAAAGATCAAATTCTGGGGTCTGAAAGGGAAGAGAACCTTCAGAGGACGGGGCTGTCTAAAAGCGACGCAGCAAAGGGCCTAAATCCCGCTGGATTTGTTATTCCTTGGTGGCCTCTAACTAGCTGGTGTATGTGTGTTACGGCTGTTACACACGTTTTGTAAACAGATACGTGTGTTATGTAGCTGTGTGGGTGTACACACGGAGGATTTGCTATGGTTAAGGCCATTATTTTAACGTTGTCATCCTGCACCCCTAGCTGATACGTATATTGTGAGATGATTGTTGATATAACTGGTTTCCTCTTATGATCTTGGTGCCTTTTGCTTTTGATAACAAAATGTAGACCAATCCACAAGGAATTATGTGAGCGATTTTCCTAAGACCGTCCTGTTCTTTCCAGGGTAAAATATAAATAAGGATTTATATATATCGTCAGCAATGTATAATCTGCCTTCCCTAACCTGTCTGGCAACTCCTCTCAGAGCGTGCTGCGAAAAGGGAGAAGCGCGCGGAGTCAGCAGTAACCGCGAATGTGCGGGGTGGAAAATGAAATCAATAAAAAGGAAGAGAAAGAGGTTTCGAACTTGATGACGTGGCTCCAGGAGAACAAACCCCCCGCCGAGGGCAAGCACCCCCCTCTGCCTTTCCCGGGCGCGCTGCGGCTGGAGGATTTATCTCTCTGGAGTCTGGAGGCCAGGGCAGCCCCGTGTCCGTGACGGTTTGCTGCTGGGGCGGCCAGTGGTCGTGGAAGGACTTTTTAATTTTATTTTTTATTTTTGGTGCCGAAATACTCCCTTAAACTCCGCAGCGGGCTGCAGCTCTGTCCCTGCTCAGCCCCCAGCCCCACGCTCGCCCCGGGGGGGGATGCCCTGAGCCCGTCCCGCTCCGGGGAAGGGGCTTAAACCCCAACCCAGCTCCGCGTGTGGGACCATCCCTCGCCCCATCGCACCCACCCCCCCCACCCTGCGCCGGCGCGGCCCCGGGTGCCGCGGGGCCACCGCTTGCCCGCGCGCGGCTGCCGCCGGCGCCGCGCTGAGGTATCTCGCAGGCAGATTGTCCACCAGATGGTACAGCCTACTCCCGGAGAAATATTTGAAAGGGCAACAAAATACAGCAGAAGCCATTTGACAGTCCACATGGTTAGCGCGGGATTCGCCAAAACCACTCCGCTGGAAGCACAGCCAGTGCCGAGCAAAGCTGGGGAGGCGGCCCGAGGGAAGGTGCCCAAACCCCGCAAAAGGTTTGGTTCAAGCTCTTCTCCCCAGCCCTGCTCCTCTTCCTCCCCGCTCTCCCCCAGCGCCTGGGGGGTGCCTCTAAGTGAAAGCACCGGGGAGACTCGCTCCCGCCTTCCACCGGTCGCATCCCGGCCACGGAAACGCGCCGGGTGCCCCCAAAATCCCCCGGATTTTTCCTTCAGTCTCTACCGAGGTTGATGGAGCCGGATGAGGGAAAAGGAGACTGGAGCCACAAACTCAACGCTCCCTCCCATCCTCCAAAAGCGCTTTATTCACCCCACAGTTTGTTTTAAGAGGAACCCTTTTATTCCTCAACCCACCTGCCTTTCTTCACCGCCCCCAGCCCCCCGTGCTGAGTAGGGAGCTCTCTTACCTGCTGCTCAGCATATGGCACAACCCTAGGGAATTTTTTGGGGTGGGAAATGGGGATTTTTGTGAGCGGGAAGCTGGCAGTCCTCGCTGGGACTTGCCTGTGTGGCAACGCCCGGGGACCACGGCAAATCCCAGGAGCGAGGAGGTGGCGGGAGCCACCTCCCCGGGGTGGGGACAGCAGGCCAGTGTTGGTCAAAATATTAAAAAAAAAAAAAAAAAAAAAATTAACAAAAAATAAAGAGCCGAGAAGGAGCTATTGAGTGTCCTAATTGGGTCCCGGCAAGAGTTACTGCTCTGCCACTGATTTAGGCAATTAAAGGCAGAATCTCTGCTGCTGAAAGCTGACATCTTCAGGTGGCTCCTAACAAAAATTAATACCCCTCTAACTGTGCCACCTAGTCAAGCTGTAAAGTAAATTAATTACTGCAACAGAACTAATAATAACAGTTCGGG